TCACATTACCAAGGGGGAGCCTTCTAATGGGCTCCCAGCAAACCACCAAGGGACTCCCAGCATAGACATGGCTCAGGAAAAACACTGCTTTCAAAGCCAAGATAAAAGATTATGGGACTGATTAAATTAAGAATGGTCTAATTATCAGTGGTTATAGAGTAAATAGCCAGCTCATCTGAGAATCAAGCTTCTCTTAGAGGACCTCACACTCATGACCCAAAAAATCAATTGCAGCTGGCTCAAGAGCCTTGTGAACCCTGGGATTTGCCTTTCTGATCTTTTCCTCACTCATGATTATTGCCACTGCTTTACAGATGGCATTTGGATGTTCTGGAGCTGGCACAGCTTCACCTGGGTTCTCCCATCAAGGCTGCCTTTTAGGCTATGTTTCTCCTGTGCCACTGCAGCCCAGGAGCTTCTCTCTCCCCACATGTCCCAGGGGCTCAAAAGTGGATTCCTGTTTATTTCCTCAAGCAGTTTTATTCATATCCTTCAAAAGGTGCCAAACCGCATCTGTCAGGCCCAATAGGACTCAAAAGTGCATCGTAGGTAAACACCAGGAGCAAGGTGGGACTGCCTGGAGTTCACAGCATTTGCTGCACTTCTCCCTTAGAAGTTTTATTGCCCCTTCTGCAAGTCACAGGCACATCTCTGGCACAAGTTCTCAAGCAAAAGCAGAGTCAGGCACATAACATCCCTGTGTTCAGGACTGATAGAGAACAGCCCCCAGCAGCGAGGGAGAATCCTTTCAGGACAGGCAATGAGTTTCTTTGGATACTGTAGGTGTTGAACTGGGGCCAAGCTCAGCCAGGCTGGATGTGTCCAGACTGTGCATGGGAGCTTCAAATGGGTGAGGATCTGTCCTGTCTGCTGGTGCCTGGTGTGATGACTCCAGGCAGGGCTATGGGGACTCTGCCACAGGGACATGGGGAGGGGCTCCAGACAGAGGGGTCAATATCTACCACCCATGCTGGGTGTAGCTGGGGACAGGCAGAGCTGTGATGTTCAGATCTGATGGCCATGAGCAGCACAGAGGGCAGTGTAGGGCCAGCTTCAGTACACAGAGCTCCCTACTAGCACTGCAGCTGAGGACAGTGATGGATTTTCCCTCCCTGTTTCTTTGGGCTCAGTGTGGTTTCAGGGAGGACAGACAGGCTTCTCCCAAGCCTGCAGCCCCACACGTTTCCAAGTGAGTGAGATGATAATTGCAGGGGCAGCTTGAAAGAGGTAGAGATCCTTCCCATGGGGCATGGAAGTGCCTTCCACCAGAGACCCCTGTGAGAGCCCACACACACCATGGAAAAAACAAGACATCCCACAGTGTGTCCTGCTTTCTAGCTCCACAGCCTGCTCCCAGGCTGTGACTCACTGCAGAGCCATGCACAGCTGGCTTCCCACCCCCTGCCCTGCTGGCCTCTGGTTTACAGAGGATCTGCAATGACATCAACTGCTCCTTCTCCATCTGCTTCTGACAGAGCCAGCACCCCACTTGCCTGCATCACCCCATGAGCCAGCTCAGCTCCAGTCCATCAGCAGCACACTGAGGCTCAGGATCTCCTGGTCCAGGAATTGGAAGAGACCTCGGCTGGGTGTCAGTCTGCTCCATCTGAACGAGGCATCAGTCCTACTGCTGAGCCCAGGGGAGGGTCCCATCCCACTGGGAAGAATGCCTTACCCCACATAGGACAGACAGCCACTCCTGGGCACATTCCCAGGACAGTTTGGGTTCGTCCTGCCCTGTGCAGATTGTTCTTCCAGTGGCCAAGGATCTGCTTAGTGTGAGTCTAGAGAGCACAGCCCTTTTGCTTCTGATCTGCTTCTGAAATGGAAAAAAACAGGAACCCTCCAGCAGAACCTGCTGACACATTCCCAGAGAGCAGAAGAGCTGGGACATTCCTGGGATAAGCAGATTCCTGTCTACTCTGCTCATACTGGTCTTTCTTGACTTTTCCTGAGCTGGGTGCTGGGCTCCCACACCAGCAGCCATTGCCTTTCCACACACTGCCCCACACATGTGAGGAGCTCAGCCTCCAGCCACACACTCAGGGATGAAGACTTAGTAAATTACATTCCCGCAGTGGTTCCAGGGCATCCTGTTTATTTATGTGCACTCCGAGCTCATTGTTTTGCAGCACTTAATGCAGAAACATCCTCTAGAGAAAAACTCATTAGAGAATCCCTCCTAGAGCAGAGAGAAGGAAAGGCTCCTCAGACAGACAGATTTGTGAGCAGGACACAGCAGGATTATTAATCCACACTTGTATCTCTCCAACCAATGCTCACTCACATTTTTCTTCATTTCTTGCAGCAGACTTGTTCCCTTCTTGGAGAGCACTGGGGTTTTCTCAACTGTGACAGTCCAGATCTGCCCAACCTGGCTTAAAATGGGATGAAGAAATTTGGATTTTGAACTAGGGTTAGCTGGAGTTCAAACCTCATCCCTGCAGACCTCTTGGCTTTGCTGTAAAATGAGCTCAAGCTGCAAAGGGTCTTGCCCTGTTTGCTGTTTCCATCGGAGTTTGTGCAGTCACCTGAGCTGGGAGCAAGTGCCAGGAGTCCTGGGGTGCATCCAGGGGGGTGCCCTGCTGGCACCTGGTCAGGGAGCCTGACCTGGACCTGTGAGGCTGCAGCTCTGTGAGGTCTCCCGGGGCTGATGAGGCCCCTCAGGCAATTTCCTGCCCATCCAGTGCCCCAGATGGCAAAGACAACCTTCTAAACATGTGTGAGGTCCAGTTTTCCTCCTGGCAGCCTGACCAAAATGTCCTCTTTGATGACCCCACTAAGCTGTACAAGAGTGTAAAGGACTTTCCAGGACTTCCTTTGCAAGCTCTCAGTCATTTATGGAGCTTTTTAAAGCTGCTGAGTCTAAAGAGTCAGGGAGTTGCTCCAGGCTCTTGTTTCCCCTTCTGTGTGATCCCCCTCCATGCCGGGCAGCGTGTCCCTCACAAGGTGCAGGACCCAGCTGTCCCCACCATGTGTGCAGAGGACTGTGAGGTCCCCTCACTCTCACCCACTCCAGGCTCACAAGCATGAGCCTGGGGTGGGTGAGAGCATGATCCAGGGGTATGTTTACAGATGTGACTGCATCACTGCTTTCCGCTTTCACTCAAAACCAGTGGGTCTAACCCACCACATATATAAAGAAATCCCTGTTATAATTATCTCCCTGGCACTATCATTTGTCTAAGCCCTTAGTAGAGGGCTTAGCTTCAGGCCCACAGTGCAGAGCACTAAGCAATTGCCACGTTGTCAGTTAGAAAAGTCGTGGTTTCTTTTCTCTTCTTTTTTTTTTTTTCTCCCTAAAATTTTTTCCAGATGTCTTTTTTTTTTTTTTTCCTTAGGAGAAGAACCAGCAGCTGTGCAATTTCAATGCGAGCCGTGACTAATCCACCGCAGAGAGCATTCAACGACAGCATTCAACTCCTGGGATATGAATCAAACAAGTGATACTTTGGCTTAGGGGATGTGTGGCCTTTGGAGCCAAACTGGGCCTACAAGTAGCACTGGGCTGCACCTGGGAGCTACAGACACTTGTGGTGGGAGAAGATGCTCCAGATTCCACAGGTAGTTGGTTGTATTAGAAGGAGCCATGGGGTCTTAGACACCATCCCAAATCTGGCCCCCACAGGGACCTGAGAGGGTTGTGTGAAGAATTTATGGATGTCCCTGTGAGTAATATCAACATCACATACCAGCACCCAGGGATGGCTTTTGAGAGGTGTGTAGCCAAGTAAAGAAATGGGTGAAGCAGATTTTCTTCTCTTGTTCTTTGCCAGCAGCCTCCTGAGCTGCCTGATCACAGAGACCGACCGGCTCACTGGGAAGTGATGACGGGTTCTCATGGCCCCCCTTCCCTACACTTCCCTCCCCTTTCCCTTTCTGTTCTGTTTACTTTTTGTTTCTCGTTGGCCATGGGATGTTTAGTCTTACATCTGATCTTTCACATGCAGCAGAAGTGCCGCGAGGCCGGATGGGGAGTGAGCCGATACAGAATCACAGACCACAAAGGCATCCTACAGAGCAAGGAGCCAGCACAGCCCAGGGGTTGTCACAGGCCAGTTCCTGTGTTGACATCTAAATCCTCAGCAACATCAGTGGGAAAAGTTAAGGACCCAGATCCATGTCTCAGCCCATCTCAAAGATAGTTTGTAATCACAAGGCATGCGCCCAAAGCCCAGTCAGCCAAGACAAAACATGATGTTGCATTTTGCTGTGGTGTTGGGTGTCCTTCACCCAGCATCCATAATCAGGCTGCTGGTGCCCAGATGGCTTGTCCTCAGTCATGCTGGCTACACGAGCCACCACCTTTCCAGCAGCCCCTGGAGAGCAGCCCTGGGGTGAGGGTTGGTGCTGCAGAAGGATCACAAGCTGAAAAGAGCTGAAGTATCCACAGGGCTTAGGACAGCCCTGTATGGCATGGAGATACTCTTCAGGGATGCCCAAATTCCAGCAGGTTTTGTCTGCTGGTTTTCCCTTGCAGTGCAGTGCCATAGCCGTGCTGGTGTGGAAAGGCACATGGTCTGCTCCTGCCAGGGGAGCAGATGAACCTTAAATCCTCACAGTCATGGAGAGAGGAGCTGGGTTTTCACCCTAAGCATAGAGAGGAACAGATGGGAAAAGCCAACTCCAAGCAGCTTTGCTGCCTGGCTGCCTCTGGCTGGGCAGCTGCTCCAGCTGAGTTATGATCTGTAAGGTCAAAATACTTAATGATGTTTGAAGAGACCAACAGATTCAGCTGACCAACAATTCTGACTGTGGGTTTTGTTCAATCAGTCCAGATCTGCTGGATGATAACCACAGCAGTGAGACCAGTTTGCTGAGCATCACATCTACGAGCGCAGCATTTCTCTGCCTACTTAGAGCATAATTCAGATATGTCATATTCCCCACATTCTCTGGATCATTCATTCCTCTCCCTCTCCACAAGGCAGTCCCAGATGGCAGCAGTGTTAGGAGATAGGATGGAGGAGCAAGAACTCTCCTGCCTTCTTCATCCCCCTGAGGATGGGAAGCACCAGGTCAGGGACTGAACTACTCTTGAGAAATGACAGCATTTCACTTTTTAATGGCAGCAGGTTAAGGTGTTAGGAGGTGCACAAACCAAGCAGAGAGATGGCATTCCACCCGCCCCCCGTGCTGTCAGTCCGCGAGAGAGAACTGACATACTCGTCGCACCAGTGCAGGCAGCTGTGACAGTGACTCCGCTGGGAAGGCTGCGCTGGGGGCTGATCTGTCCCTGCGAGAGACCCCCTTGATCTCCAGCCCCTGCTTGATTTCTCTGGTCTATCCTTTGGACCCAGGCTGTGCCTCAGCCGGGTGGGACTGCCCACTGGGGCGAGGGGGGAGGAAGAGACCGATTTGGAAAGATAGCAAGGAGGAGGAGGAGGAGGAGAGGCAGCGGGAAACCCAGCCCACCCTTTGGCTTCCTCCTGCCTCCTTCTAAAACCTGCAGATTCCTCCAGCCTGTCCAAGCGCCTGAAGTTTCCTCAGCCGTGCTGCCCGGACTGCGAGGTATGACCCGAGCTTCGTGTTTGCCTTTGCTGTGCCTCTTTCTCCTGATATAGGGGTCCACATAGCCCCACTCGTGGCGGTCCCTGGCCCGGGACCCACTCTCCCAGCCCGTGGAGTGTGTCCAGGGCTCGGCAATGCGTCACTCGGGATGGGGAGGTGGATGCTCCCCACCACAAGTGGTGCACTTAGAGACCCCTCCTGACTTCTTCCCTTTCTCCTCTTTGCAGCATCTCCGCTCCTAAACTGTCTCTTGCTCTATTTCACTGCCAGATGACGAGCTTAACACTTTGGTGGCATCTGACTGTAAAGGTTTAACCTGCCCTCATTTTTCTCTCTCCTTCCTTTTTCCTCTCTGGATTTTCAGCTGGAAGGTAATTCCTTAGCGAGATGTGTGACCAAGGTCTGAGCACATCAAACCAACCTGCAGAGAAAATCAGATCTAGTTACAAACCAGTCCCCACTACTCCCAGCCTGAGGTGTGTTGGCAGGTGATGTTTTACTCACCAGAGTATCTAGAGGAAGAACAAAAGAGCTGTCGACTTCATCTCAGCGTTTTTTATTTTTTCAGTAGAGCCACTCTTATTTCTCCAAAAAAAAAAAAAAAAAAAAAAAAAAAAGGACACTCGGCTTTTTGTTCCCAGCAAACTTTGAAACTCTTTCAAGTCCTGCTGCCCTGGCTGAACTCCAGCCGATCGACTTTTAGAGAGACGGAGGTTGCAGGAGAGGAGGAACAAAGCTCTTTTGGAGTGTTTTTTTTTTTTTAAAGTTTTAAGAACTTGGGCTCAGTCAGGCACAATTTTAAGTCCACGCAGAAGAGCCGAGGTTTGTTTCCTTTAAAGGCAGCTGCTGTCCTTCCCATCCCGGTGACGTGACCTGTGTGGCAGTATAACTCTGCTCTTTGTGTCCCTTCTCTGAGAAAGCTCCATTCTGTTGCATGCAGCCAAAAAAGAGAAAACTTAACAGGATAGGGGTTGAATTCCCACCCAAACCGAAAGGCAAGAGGTTCAAGTTGGAGTGAAACTGGGGACACCGGGAAAGTCGCCAGTACTCTGAGTCCTCAGAGACCACCAAATCGAAACAGCCCAAAAACTCAGCAACCCTCCAAAAGGACAAAAGTTAATCGCAGCCCTTTGTTAGGGTGGATCAGGCGAGTTTTAAGTGGAAATGAAAGGCTGTTGCCTCCTGCGCAGTAACTAAAGCCAAGCCATTGTTTGCCACATAGTCAGGAGCAGGGATGCGGGCGGTGTTGGGAGGGGGAAGAGCAGAAATAAACTTTTCAAACTTTTTTTCAAGCCCCTCCTTCCAAAACCCTCTGCTCTTCCATGACTCAGCCCTAGAGGAATGTCGGCTCCCATGGAAACCTTTTCTGGGTCCTCTGGTCGGAGGGATGTCGGGGCTGTTATCGCTGGAGCGGCTGCAGGCAGGGCGAGTCCAGGGAATGCTTTGGAGATGGTTTGCATTTTTGAGAGTATTTATCGGGCAGCTTATTCTCGTCCTCCTTTGTGGAGCCGTGCGGGATCAGTTGGCTGCATCCCCCGAGAGCCGGAGGGACCGCCTGCCCCTGGCACAGCACTATCGGGGCTGCTTTTGGCGCTGCTCTACGTCCAGTCCACACAAAAGAAAAAGCTCAGGCAGGACAGCAAAATTCCGTCTCCCGTGTCTGCACAGGGCTCATCAGTGAGCCGCTGCCTGCAGCCCAGGGCTCATCCATGCACTGTTCTTGTTATTAATTTAATTGTTTCCCATTATGGATGCGATCTGTAACCTGGACAAACTGTGACAGCCTCCAGCACACAGCTTGAATGGGATTGAGCTTGCCTTTGTATCAATAAGCCCTGTAAGACCTGGAGCATTTCTCGGTGCAATCAGAGCTGCTCAGCTCCCTGCACGGGAAATGTGTTCATGCAGCATTGTGTAGACATGTGTTTAGTGACTGCATAGGCAGACGGGACAGATAGATTTTTTTCCCCCCATGTTTTACTTCTAGTATATGTGTGTGCATGAGCTAAAACTTACTTGGCTTTCCAAGCCTGCACACTGTGTGCCAGGGGTCTGGGCAGGTGGCAGGAGCCAGAGTGGCTTCTGCCCAGTCCTCTGCCCTGCTCCCCAGGGCAGCTGCAGCACATCTGGGTGAGCTGGTACCGACTTGTAGGGACCTGTTCAGCCAGGAGCTTTATGGGGACTCGAACAAACAACTCTGACTTCAAATGGAATTTTAGCCTGGGAGTGGCTGCTGGGTAAAGCTCAGAGGGTCTTGCTTGCATAGGGAGGTCAGGGCCAGCCCTTGTGTTGTGTCTCTGTGAGGGTCACACTTGGTCGCCCATCAGCACCTTGAAAGCTGTGGCCCCAGTGGGGTTTAGCAGAACCTTTTTCTGGGCCAGTTTTGCCTTTACACTCAGTGTGAGGTGGGGGCATGTCAGACCTGCAGAGCCTTGAAAAGCAGTGAGCAGAGGGAGGGTGGGTGCAGGAGACTCTGGTGCTTCGGTGGTGCCTCCAGCGTGGCTGGGCTGGGGTGCCGGTGGGGAGCTGAGGCACGGGAGGGTTTTGCCTGCTCCTGCTCTCCGTGGCTGCAATGGGAGGTGGCAGTGGAGCCCCTCAACTGGGTTAGCAGGGGTGGCAGCTGGGGTTAGCCCGGTGGCCTCGGGGAGGAGCTGTCAAAGTGGCCAACCAGAGACTCCTCCCCACGCTAACGTGGCATCCCAAAGGGCTTATGCAACCCTGGACAGGGCCAGCGCCACATGGGCCACGCTCCTCCATCCACGGAGCCTCTTCCGGAGGCTGCACCCGCCTGGTCCATGTCCTCCCCCAACACACAGAGGTCCCAGGGTTGAGTGGGAGGAGACAGGAGAGACCTGCAGACCCCAGAGGCACAGACTCCCCTCTGTGTATCACTGCAGGGTACTTTCCCCATCAACAGAAACTTGTGATGGGACTTGGGGGGAGGATGGTAAAGAGTTTCCCAGAGCAGCCTGCTTTGAGCTTATGGAGGTGCTGAGGGTCAGCCTCAGCCCTCCCTACACCCTATGGCTCCCTTGTTATTGGCATGGCTGCAAAATGTAAGGGGCAGCTGGCACTGAGGAATAGCCTGGGCCATGCTGGAAAGGTGAACCACTGAGAGGGGTTCATGGGAGCCCCCAGACTCTGTTTATAGAGCAACTGGGAGCTGAAGTCCCCGTGTGGGATGCAAATGGGGTCAAGCCTTAGAAAGGTAGTGCCACCCATGGGTCTTGCAGCCATATGTGAGGCCTGAGGAGGGACTGGTTACCGTGGAGCTTCTCTTACTTTATATTCAGCAGTCCTGTCTGTGCCCATGATGTGCTGGTTTCCAGTGTCTTGCAAAGAGCTGGCATCTATTGATTCCTTTAGGATACAGAAGGGCATAAGTCCCTGCTTGCTAAAATCTCTTTCCCAGCCCTGTTTTCCTCTGTCCAAAATGATCCCCTGGCTGCCCCCTCCCTATGCTACCTCCTGCCCCCTGGCAAAGCAGTGCCAGGCATTCCCAGTGCAGGGCCCCTCACAGGGATCCTCCCAGAGTCCCTCCACCTGTGGGATGGATGCTGAGCTCATGGTATGTCAGCTGCCAGCTCCAAAGAGCATCCTCTTGGACAGCAGGACCATGGTTGCTCCACAAGGAGGGAGACTTGCACCATGGATCATGCTCTTCTAGTGGAGCAGCTCTGTGTGCAGGGCTCCCAAACTGTTATTTCAGGATTTTTGACCACCAGGCATTCAGGAATGACCGTGCCTTTGCAACCCAGCCAGGGGCTCACAGGCACTGCAATGTCCTCCCTGCTCTGCCTTCAGAAGGATGTTGTTTTTCAAATAAACTTGCTTTCCATCTATGGCACAAGACAGCTCTGCAGAACTTGTTTGCTCAGACTTTTTCATGCTCCTTCTTCCTCCAAACACAACACTGGCAGCTCTGACTGTCTGCTGGCTTCTAGCAAGCATGTAATTCCCTGACCCCAGTTTACTTGCATGCCCAGACTTTGAAATTCAAGGCTTTTTCGAGGCTTGGGGAAACAATCTAAGATGGCCTTGGTCTAGGACTGGGTTCTTCTTAATGCCATCTTCCACATGTACATGCCCTGCCCTCTCCTCCAGGCTGGGCACTGCCATGTTTCTGCCCAATGAGCATCACTGAACCTCAGAGCACCTTCCAAAGCAAACAAGCCCCTTGGGAGAAGCCCAGGAGGAGCCTTTACAAGCCAGGGGATGGCAGCAAGGGAGGAGATGGCCAGAATCACCAGTACTTTTCCACCTCCCCTCCCCATGCAACCCTTCCAGGAGTGAAGATCAGAACCACTGATCTCTCCTGGCAGATGCTGGCAGAATTCTCAGTAGCATCCAGAGCAAATAAAGGCAAGGGGAAGGGACAGCTTGTACCAAGCAGGATAGGAGGGAGCTTTTCAGCTGCAGCCTTGACAGTGCAAACAGGCTCAGCATCCCCTACCCACAGCTGCTCTGCCACAGATCCTTTATCCCACCACAGCAGACATCCCCATCACTCTGTGCTCCCAGCTCTCTGACATCCCAGGAAAGCTGCCCTCCATGCCATGACCTCTATTTTGCAGGAACACCCTGCTGGAGGCTGGGTGAGGTACTGAGATTGGAAAGAGGATTTTCCCTGTGTGGCCAAACCTTGCTAAGTTAGGAAGCAGAGCCCAGTCTGACAGCACAGCCTTGGTGTGGTTTCATACCCAGAGAGCTGCTGTGCACAGGGAGGAAGGGAAAGGATGCACTGGCAAATTAGATATCCTGGGAGACACGAAGAAACATTGTCCAACACTTTCTGTCCCAGCAGATCCATCCCTTTGCCTGGCCCCAGGGAGCTCACAGCTGGGATGTGATGGCCACACAGGTGGAGTGGACGAGGGCAAGCGGAAGGGAGGCAGTGGAAGAGTTGGCAGGGGGACAAGTCCCCTCACTGGCAGGAGACAACCCTCGCTGTCAGGAGTGGGATGCCACCGGCATACTGAGCAGCCAGCTGAGCTCCTCTCTGCCCTCACACAGAGGGGCTCATCCCTGCCAAACAGGAACCGGGGGGGACAAGGACAGGGCGATTTCACCAGCTGCGCTCTCCTCCTGGCTCACATCACAGCCAGTGTTAGCTGGGCTGCCCGGCTCCCTCGTCCTACAGGATCCCTGCAACAGCCCAGACTGGGAGGGTGAAAAAGGCTTATCCTTCTGGAGCTTGTCTCCTGGCAGGACACAACCCCAAAGTGTCTGGGATCCCTCAAACCCAGTCTGGGGACCCTCAAGTCTGAGGAGGAAAGGGAAAAACTATAGTAGAGATCCCAGCATTTGGGGATGCTGAGGATGGAGGACCGGCCCCTCATACCCCTAGGGATGACTGTGTCCATGTGGGAAGGAGCTTTCTAAGGGATTTAATTCTCAAGTGCCCCATCTCACTGTCTCTTCTTCATCCTCCACTTTCATTTTTCCTTGCTTGTACCTGGCACTCAAATCAGAAGATTTTTAACATGAAAAATCTTGGGGTTTGGTAAAAAAACCTCCTGAGAAGGAAAGAGGAACTGCCATTTTGACTGTGATTTTTCTAAAGGCATCCAGGAGAGTAACAGACATCTAAATCCCACTGTCTCATGTTGCAGAATCAAAAGAATTTATCTTGGAAACATGATTTGGCTTAAGGTTTTGGCTAGAAAAGACAGCACGTGGGTCTATAATATTGAACAGACGAGGCAGGAAATGAAGAGAACACCCTTCTCTAAGTGTCTGACTGCTCAGCCTGCAGCTGAGAGGCACACAATGGCCTCCTTCCTCATCCCTGCTTTTCCTCTTCTTTATTCAGGGTCTGCTGAAAGATGAGGGCCTGGATTTTTTTCCTTATTTGCCTGGCAGGCAAAGCCCTGTCAGCTCCGGTAAGTGCATGAGACAGCAGAGCCTCTGCTGTCGGGGTTGTCCATCTGAAGTAGCTGATGGGGATTTTATTTTGTAACAAGTACAGTACTAAGGGATGGGGGACAACCTGAGGATGGCCTTATTCCCCCTTGGAAGCATCCTCCCCATGGTCCCCCACTCATGGTCCTTTTCCCCTGCAGCAGGAGGCTCTGCCTGATGAGACAGAGGTCATTGAAGATCCTACCACAGAGGTAGGTGACTTTGCTCCTCCTCCTCCTCCCCTGCAGCACCCACTGCTTTGGGAAGAGCATCTCCAAAGCAGAGGGGGAGCAATGGGCAGGCTGCTCTCCCCCACCAGGAGCTGTGATCTGTATACACCAACACCAGAAACACCAACCTTTTTTGCAGGAGCCTGTGGGGGCTAATCCTGTCCAGGTGGAGGTGGGAGAGTTTGAGGAACCCACAGAGGATGTAGAGGAGATTGTTGCAGAGAGTAAGTCACCCTTCCCCTGCCTGCTGGCTGGCAGAGACATCGTCCTCTCCCTGCATGGGGGAGCTTTAGCCATCCCAAACAGTGAGGAGGTCCTTTGGGAAGGGCTATAGCACTAGGACGATACCAGACTAGATGCACACTTTAAAGCAAAAGAGGCACATGGCCTTTTCCAGCCCTGGGCTCTCTGTAAGCCTGCTTTTGCAACAGAAAAGCCATTGTGTTGTGTGGCTACAGAAAGGAGTCCAGGATTAACCTGAGGACTGACATGGATTTCTGGAGATGCTCATATCTCCCCAGTGCAGGAATAGATGCTTGGGGCTGTCCCTGCTGAAGTCTCTGTCTTCCCTCTGTGCTGAGATGCCCTGGGCAGCTCGTGGGAGGTGAGGATGAGGCTGGCTCTGACTTTGCTCCCCTCTCACTCCCAGACCCCTGCCAGAACCACCACTGCAAGCACGGCAAGGTGTGCGAGGTGGATGACAACAACCAACCCATGTGTGTGTGCCAGGACCCCTCCAGCTGCCCAGCCACTGCTGGTGTCTTCGAGAAGGTGAGGGCAGGAGCTGCTTGGTGGCCCCGAGTGGGGAGGGACCCCATGTGGGCACTGCCAGGGATGGTGGGGAGACAGAATCAGGGTGGCAGGTCTCCATCTGGCCTCAGCTGATGGTGATCCAGCAGCTATTCCCCACCCCAGGGAACAAGTTAAACATCTTGTTTGGAGGCTCTCCCTCCAGACTCCCCAGCAAATCTGGGCTTTGCTGCCTCTCACACAGCATCTCCCCACCCTGTGCAGGTCTGTGGCACTGACAACAAGACCTACGACTCCTCCTGCCATTTCTTTGCCACCAAGTGCACCTTGGAGGGAACCAAGAAGGGACACAAGCTGCACCTGGACTACATTGGGCCTTGCAAATGTAAGTGGAGCCACTCCCTCAAACAAGGGGACCCCTAACCTGAGCACAGCCCCTGTGCCCGCAGTGTGAGGGAGAGCAAAGGTCCAGGCAGGCTCAGGGCTGAGGTTGGAGGGCACTGGGGCTGTGTGTCTGGGGTCTGGGGCTGCATGTCCAGACGCTGCACTGACCACTGTCTATGACTTCCAGTCATCCCTGCCTGCCTGGACACAGAGCTGACTGAGTTCCCCCTGCGCATGCGGGACTGGCTCAAGAACGTGCTGATCACCCTGTACGAGCGTGATGAGGACAACAACCTGCTGACTGAGAAGCAGAAGCTCAAGGTGAGGGACTGGGGACAGAGCCTGGGAGCTCACCCCACCAACAGAGCCCAGCACACATGGGGAGCCTGTCCAGAATGACCTGTGGGCGCCCCATTTAAAGCCTCTCCTGGGGTCCACCCTTCCACCCCATTTCCCTGCTGACAACGGCTCCCTGGCCTCTCCTATGGCAGGTGAAGAAAATCCATGAGAACGAGAAGCGCCTGGAGGCCGGTGACCACACCGTGGAGCTGCTGGCCCGTGACTTTGAGAAGAACTACAACATGTACATCTTCCCCGTGCACTGGCAGTTTGGGCAGCTGGACCAGCACCCCATCGATGGGTGAGTGTCAGCAGGATGGAGACCCCACCAGAACCCTTTCCCATACAAGGATCAGGATGATGTGGCAGCAGAAGGTGTCAAAGCAGGCTGGAGATGTGACACAAGTGGGTGGCTGGTGGCACAAGCACATCTGTCAGGGGTTGTGGCAAACAAGGCTGGGATAGAGGTAGGTTTGCCTCCTGCAAACAGCTCTTCTGCAGGAAGAGAGGCCTCCCCAGCCTCACCTGCTCCCATCTCCCTTGGGTGTGGAGTTTCTGTCTTCTCAGATTTACTGTCGTGTGACAGTTCCCTAAAATATCTTAGTCCAAAGGCCCCGGGATAACTTCAGCAGCTGAGATAGCAGCTGCTGGCTTAGCTGTGAGATGGAGAAGGGCACGAGAGTGATCACAGACCCGTGGGGTGAGGGCAGCTGGCAAGGACCACCAGCTACTATTTTGTGGCCAGCACAGCCAGTTGCAAAGGCAAACACCAGTCCTTTTCCTTCATGACACTCAGTGGCTGATACTGGGAGGGCACTGGGGCCAGTCAACCCACAGAGCTGGGGCCAGCATCTCCCCTCCTGTGACCATGTGGCCACCTTGGCAGGTACCTGTCCCACACTGAGCTGGCCCCGCTCCGTGCCCCCCTCATCCCCATGGAGCACTGCACCACCCGCTTCTTCGAGGCTTGCGACCTGGACAACGACAAGTACATCGCCCTGGAGGAGTGGGCCAGCTGCTTCGGCATTAAGGAGCGTAAGTACTCAGGAGGGCAGGAATGGGGGTGCAGGGGACACTGAAAAGCACCCCCAGAGCCCCCACTCTGGATGGAGCAGTGCATTTCAGCTGGTGCTGGGTGAGGCAAAGCAGGGGAGAGTGGGGAGGGCGGATTGCAGGAGCAGTGGGACCCTTGCAGCATCCGCCTCCTAACCTCGTCTCTCTCTTTTCCTTCCACAGAGGACATAGACAAGGATCTTGTGATCTAAACGCCCCGGCTTCCTGCTCTGCTGCCAACTTTGTCTTGTTTTAACCTTCCCACTTCCTTTGGTTTTTAAACTGCTTTTGTTTTGTTTTGTTTTTCCCTGGGAACAAGGTGCTAATATAGATCTAAACATATGTAGTAATGGTGCTAAGAGAAATAACAGTCCTCATTCATAGCCTTATCTATTACCACTAGATTACTCACTCAGCTGTTTCCACACGCTCTTACCAGCCTTTTCTCTCTCCGACGTGCCTGTACCATTGACGGACTGTTCCTGTCCCAAATATCCTGTCTCGGTATCCACTCTCGGATCAACTTCTCTTTAACTTCTCACTAACAGCATGTTCCAGGTCAGTGCAGATGCAAAGCCCTCTCAACTGATTCACTGCCCCAGTTACAGATGCCTGTGAGGGAAGGCAGAGCCAGAGGATGTAGGAGGATTGGGTTCTCAAGCAGAGCAGCTGCAGGTGACATTGTGGCCACCCAGCTCATGGTAGGGAGGATGGAGAAGGGTGAGAAGGATAAAGAGTGGCAGGATTTTGTTTTCCTTTTTTTTTTTTTTTTTGACATTCCCAGGGCTTGAATTTAGTAATTATTGGGCACAAATAAGAAAAAAAAAAAAAAAGGCTAATCGAATTAGCAAATACGGAAGCGCACAAAATTTAAAACAAGACGATAAAATGCATCCCATCTTGTAAAATCCCCTCAAAAAATAAAGGTTTGAAAGTGCTACATGCTTTACCATCACTCAATGACCACACTGCTGTTGTGTTTTCTGTGCGAGATGGGGCGTGACTGCCTGTTCCCCCAGGTTGCCCGTGTCTGACCTTGATGTGATTCTGCTGTAGCTGAAATAAAGCTCTTGGCTCTCCCCAAATCACAGTGCCCTCAAGCACTTCCCGCCTCTCTGCCTTGGTTGTGCTTAAATTCCAGCCCTGCTCCCCCAGGGAAGCTGTGTCAGTCTTGGAAGGGATGTTTCTGCCCAGAAAGAGGTGTGTTTGCCACACGTTCAAGGGAAAGGCTGTAATATTTTTTTCCTGTTGTGGATTTAAGGGATGAGTGAGGTAGAAGGGAGAAGGTATTTGGATTTTGCTTAATAGAAAGGATCCTGACAGGACCAAAGGGATGGTTAAATCTCAAAGGCTGAGAACTCCTTTTTTTTACCTCTGAATGTTCCCTGTGCCTTATTAAGTTCCTGCCACAGTGTGAGCAACCTGATGAGTCTCCATAATAAAAAATACTGATTTAAAACACTGATAAGTAAACGAGCCTACCATGTTCCTCTGTTTCATCCCATCCCAGTGAGGGGGATTGCATGTATTCAAATTGTATCACAGATATCCCTGCTCCAGGGAAGACTCTGGCCCAAGGGAAGCTGAGGTGCTTCTGCTTATAGCAGTCCCTCACTGTAAAACGGCTCCTTGGGGGATGTTGGATGGGTAACGTCAGCAGATGGAGCTGGAGCAATGGAGGCAGACGGGGTCACTGCAGCAGCCAGCACAGACACTCACTTGGCTCTCAGGCCCTTGCTTTCATCAGCAATAAAACCCCTGGGAAAGGCGAAAAGGCACAACAGTTGGAAAATAAACACCGCCATTGGCATGGGCTAAAAATATCCCAAGTTGCAAGAGCTCTGGCTCAGCTGTGAGGTCCCTGTCGACAGCCCCTGGTTGGATGTGCTGTGCTCCCAGCAGAGCTGTCAGATCATATCCTCCACAGGGCCTCTCCCAGCTGCAGAGCCCTGGGCAGGTCCCATCAGGGACAGTCACTTTGTGGGCGTATTGCCAAGGTGTTTGACCCCAGTGGGAAAGCTAATGCCTAGAAGGGCCAGGTGAAGGTTTTCCACCCCTGCTTTGAACACCAGCACTCATTTCATCCAGCCAAACTGCTTCCCAGGGCTATTAGCCAAAGTGGGGGTTCCTGATGGAGACGCAGCAAATGCCTCCCCGCTGTGGGGGCAGCTGTGAACTGGCAGACCTGACACAGAGAGGGGCACTGCTGCCCATGACCCCAGCAAGATCCAGCTGGATGTGACCCTCCTCTGTGCCAGCAGAGCTGGGAAGAGAGGACAGGAAGGCAGGTAGGGGCTGTAGATCAGCCATCCTGTACAAACCTGCTTTCCAGTCGCTCCTCTCAGCCAGAAACTCCTGCTCCACTCCCACACCAAGATACAGCTGCTTTCCTTCCAGCTCCAGCCCTCCTGCCAGCGCTGCTGGACACACACAGGCAGCTTTGGTCCCGTGCAAGGGAAGACTTTCCAGCCCTTCTCTCCTCTGCCTTCCCCTCTTGTGCAGGAGTCAGCTCTAAATCTCAGTAAGCTCAAGGAAACCAGGCTCCACCTGGAGAGTTAGTTATCATGCCTCTGGAAGGCGAAGGGATCTATCTCTAAGGTCATGTCCCATCCCATGGGACAATACTCGTGTCCCAGTGGTCTGGCAGAGCTCGAAGGACTCAACTCAGTGCTACCACAAGTGCAGCCTCTCTGGCTTTAATTGAGCATCAGAGTGAGCTCAGGAGGTTGCAGCTGGGGCTCCCTTAACCCCTCAAAGGTCACAGCCTGAAGTATCAAGTTGCTGGAATTTCACTGCGTTGGGGCAAATGCCATACATGGGGTTACATCAGGACTTGAGGAATAAGTTGGCCTCTTTGAGATTTCAGACCTAGACGGTCAGCAAGGGTGGAACAGAACAGCCCTTTCCCTGTTACAGCTGAAATTGAGCCTTCTCCTGCCTGCACAGCAGCAAAGAAACTCGCCTGTATTTCCAAGTGGAAATTCTCCCTGTGGTTAGTGCTGACTGAGGACACAGTCTGCAAACCTGAAAAAAAGGAAATAGAAAAATAACAGAGAGATCTGGGTCCAAAACCAGCACAGTCTGACCCGAGTACTACAGTGCATCTGCAGGCAGAGGTGGTTCATTTTGGTGCAGTTACTCACTGAGCTGTTCCCTGCCTTGAAGAATGGAAAGATGGGGAAGACAAGATTCCTGGAGAAATTAGTGCTTTCCTGTCTGTTTTCTTCACTCTTACTTTTATAAAAGAAACAGACTGTGCCATAAATACTGCCTTAAGGTTTGTGGCTTAAATATTCAAAATACAGGTGATGCAAAAAGGTGACAAGCCAGGATCACCAGGACTACTCAAGTAACTGAGTAACTGAGGCTTTAACCCAAGTTCAGGTACCCAGGATGGTGGAGTTGATCGAGTTACCATCCCCAGCTCTCTCACAGCAGTTCAAGCACATCCAGAATTGCTGCTGAGGGGGAATCTCATCATGAGTCTCACACAGGGAGGGTCCCACAGTGCCACGATCACCTCCACCCCTCTGCCCGGCTCCGGCTTGTCGAGCAGCTTCCAAACTGCCCATATCCACTGCGGAACCTTCTTTTGTCTTAACATCTTTTATATATTTCAAAGATGGACAAATTCAGTAAAATCTCGCCCAACCTCCACTGAAGAGACAACGCCGGGAAAAACACTTAGGGCAACGCATCTCCCCGCAGCCGGCCTGGAACGAGGGGAGGAGGGAAGCAGGCATCCCTCTGCTTCCCGAAGTTGTGAGGGGCGCGTACTCCTCCTCCCGTTCCTCCTTCTCCTGCTCCTCCCCCGGCTGATCCCCATTCCCGGCTGGCGGCAGCGGCGCGGAGCGGCCGGCGGGGGGAGCGATGGCTCCGGGGATGGAGCCCGGCTCTGCTGGAGCGGAGCGGGCACATTGTCTCGGGGCTGCCGGGGCACCGGGCGAGAGGAGGAACCCGCACCCGCATCCACCAGTCCAGGGCTCTGCCCTTCGCAGCAGAGCAGCTCAGAGCATTGGTCCCTTTGGGGGCTATGTCCCCACCACGCTTGGCTATCCCATCCCATTCTATCCCATCCCATCCCATCCCATCCCATCCCATCCCATCCCATCCCATCCCATCCCATCCCATCCCATCCCATCAGTGGTGCCAAATCCTTTAGACATAAAACCGCTGATCAAATCTGAGGCTGAGTTTGGCAGGAGGGGTCCACTCTGAACCTTGTGACTCAGCGGGAGGGTCTTCCTTACCATTTTCATTCTTATGGTTTTTTTATCCTTGGTCTCTATGTGAATCATATCAAGATGATTCTGAGCAATTTTTCTTTCTATGCTTTATATATGTAGGAATAAATAGAGTGGACCTTGCCATCAAATCCTTTTAAGCCACACTGTCACAAATTTATATTAAAACCTGATTTTGCTGATATGTTTGCCAGTGATTCTTTAAGTGACCTGAGCCACTCATTCATGACACCATCCCATCTGACTCAGAGGTGCCCGAGCCCCCCCCCCAACCCTTCTGGAGCACAGACCCTATTTTAGTCTAAAGGACACAAGGCTTATGTGGTCCCAGATTTTTTGTTTTGCAGCTTGGTCTGTCTGTCTCAGTACCATTCCCTCTAATTTTTAACCTACTGGCTAGTTTTAACTTGGATTTGATGGGGCATAGAACCGCAGACATGGCATTCCTCTGGGTGGCCTTAAGACAGACACAGAGAGGATGCAGACAGACAGACAAGTAGTTCACTGCACAGTGATGCTGAAGTCTAACAGGAGCTGGGCTCGGTCTGATTCACTGGTGCCAAGGTAATTGCATGGTAGGTAATTATTTGTGTCAGGGACTGACTATCCAGTTTCTGGCCATGGAGAAGTTACAATACTTTCTATTTCATGTCCTACCACATAAATCATGGCCATTTCCCAATTAAGCCCATTTTTTGTCAGCCTCAGTATCATGCTCCTAATCAAAGAAACTCTGATTCTCTGATTCTTGGGAAACAACTCGCCCCAGGACACATTTTTATGTGCATTCCCTACATTTTTCTTAATTTCATATTTCCTTTTGATCACTGCTTCGTTTGGACTCAAGAGACTATACAAGTCTCTTGTTATTTCTTGTCCAAACACCTCTCTGATCACCTTTACTGCCTGGGTTTTGGAGACTTTTGCTGCCATCAGCTATGGGGCCGAAATTCTTGGTGTGCAAGGCCAGGCCTGACCACAGTGTGATGGTGACTGTCTGTGGCTGCCCAGGGCAGCCACAGCACCATGACCATGCCCAGCAGGACAATCCCTGGTGGCTGGGGCTGTACCTGATACTCACAGGGTTTCTCACTGTCAGGAGGAGTGTAAAAACACCACAGGACTCCCAGGCTGAGCATCCAGTGCTGACCAGCCACATGGCTCATTTCCCTCCCATGAAATGAGGATCCTCCTGGAAACTGGAGGCTCTTTTTCCCCCACCACTGATGTCCTCAGAAGAGCTGCTTTGGCTCAAAAGTGCCAGAGCTGGATGCAGACTGAAAGCTGGGTTAATATCTGGGGCAAGTATCACCACTTGTTTGCTCTGCTCCCTCTCCCTGAAGAATTGACTGTTGAGAGCAGAGATGAGTCAAGGCAGACCTTTGGTCTGACCCAGTCCTGCTGCTCTTCTGCTCTAACCACACCTGCAATCATGCCCTATTTGCTTGGGCTTGAGCAGCAGGATTCATCCTGTAGGATTCCTGTTGTTTCCTCCTGGTCACGGTGTCTAATGAAATCCTTACCTTATCTACCATCAGATGATTCCCCCATCACTTTTGAGACAGCTCCAGGTTTTCACTCTGGTGCAGATTTTCATGCCCTTCAAAGAGCCGTTCCCTACTCTGAGTGCTGCCCACATGCCGTCTCTTTGGTGAGCCTTTATCCTTGTTCCACAGGAATAATTTCCTTTTCCTTTACAGCTTGCTCATCCAAGTGGGATGCTGGAGTGTTCTACTTAACATGTCTGGTTTGCATCCTTCTCCTTAGGCTGGCAGCTGGCATTGGATGAACTACCTGTGGCAGGAAGAAACATGCTGGAATAATCAGAGGGGAAATCTGGAGGGCTCCAGAGGTTTGCTCCTCTTCAGAGGCAGATGCCCATATCCCTTGCACGTTAACCATAACACAGGGCCTGTCCACACAGATGTTTTCCAGCCAGTGCCGGCAAACTTCAACCCCCAGCCATGGAAACTCACTTCCCCTGCAGATCTTGGCATGCAGGACAGACAGGAAGGAGCATGAAGATAATCCCCCTCCATATGCAAAGAGCAAAAGAGGAAGGGAGGAGAAGACCATCCTCCTCTCCTTGGCTGCCTCTACCTAAAAACTGGCAAGGGTGAAAGTGCTCCCCACTCAGCTCACACCTGCAAACCCCTGCCCCTGCTGCTGCCCACACGGGCAAGCCCTCTGGGGAGGAGCACACTGGAGAGTGCCAAGCAGCCCCCGCAG